TTACTTTCAATTACTTTCACATCAAGCGTTTTCCTTTTCATTTTCAGCGAAAACAATGCCAAACTTATAGACATGCTGACATTATATGTACTCTCTATCACTTCTATTAAAATGACACATGACAATGATAATATAAATCTAACATTAATTCTTCTTTAAAGAAACTTTGATTGTTGTATCTCCTTTTACATTTTCTCCTACATAGAAATAAAAAAAGAAGAAAAAGATTTTTTAATTTTGTATAGTCATAATGCAAGCTACATTGTCTGCGGCATACTTGTGTAGTGACAATTCTTAATAAGTCCTATATAGCGGCTATATTTAAAGACAACATGGATCTCTTTTAAACATGAGCTTTTCGTTCATTTAATTGTATGGAAGTTCTCATTTATCAACGTTACGAGAGCTCGCCTTTATTTATCAACGTGACGTCAAAGTCGAGCCCTTTTCTTCTAAAGAAAATTTATCTTTTTAGAGAAACACGATACTTGTGAAGCACATCTCAGCGTATGGAAGAAGCGGACAAACAACGCGTTAATGAGGACACCCGAGTGACACGAATTGGTAGCGCATGCAATTACAATTCATGACTCGTGTTTGCTTTTAGAATCGTAACCAGGAGATCGTTTTAGCTCATGAAAACCTAAATTTAAACTTGTGTTTTAGAAATCGTGTTAAATTCAAAAATAAACTTAATTAATATTACTCAATAAGTCATTAAATCTCTATAAAAAGTATAACATTTTTTTAAAGAGAAATTAGCTATTATGCTATTTTTGAAGAAATATATGCAAATATTTTCGGTATTTTTATTTTTATTTTTTAATTAAAACATAATGTGAAAAGAGATGAAAAAAGAAAGAGATAGAAGAGAAGATTCATATAAAGTAAATTTTATATGATAAACTATTACTCATAAGACATTAAAATAATTATTAGATTTTCTTGCAATCGGGATAATATTAAATATAAAAAATTATTGACACTCGAGCGATACTCGCAGGATTTGTGCAATCGCGACAGGTGTTATCCTCGTCACGCCCTAATTATCGGGTCCATCTCAGACAGAAAAGAAGATTCATATAAAGTAAATTTTATATGATAAACTATTGCTGATGAGACATTGAAATAATTATTAGATTTTCTTGCAATCGGGATAATATTAAATATAAAAAATTATTGACACTCGAGCGATACTCGCAGGATTTGTGCAATCGCGACAGGTGTTATCCTCATCACGCCCTAATTATCGGGTCCATCTCAGACAGAAAAGAAGATTCATATAAAGTAAATTTTATATGATAAACTATTACTGATGAGACATTGAAATAATTATTAGATTTTCTTGCAATTGGGATAATACCAAATATAAAAAATTATTGAAACTCGAGCGATATTCGTAGGATTTGTGCAATCACGACAGGTGCCATCCTCGTCATGCCCTAGTTACCGGGCCCATCTCCTCGCGTGCGTACACATCGTGTGCGCCGAATAACGAATGAATCATGCAGCGTCGGTGTATACGCAAAGCGACGACGGTTCACTTTCTCCCCTCGGTTTCGTCCTCAATTACACGGAGTCCCGGAGTGGGCCCTCCCCCCCTTCCTGCTGTAATTACACGGGTGAGATGCCTCAGTGGGCGGCGCGTGACGGAGTGAATCGCGGATAACAATTTTCTTTTTCGGGCCCGAAGACCCCTTTCACTCGGCCCGCTGACGCGAGACCTGGTTTCCTTCCAGCCCAAAAAAGTAGCATTCTCATTACACGGATGTTGTCAAACATCCAAATATAGTTATAACGATATATGATGATACGTATGTATGTCGTAATCGTTATATTGTGCATATAAAAAATAAGAAAAATATATTAATAAAAAATTGTTTAATATATATATATATATATATATATATGCTTTATATATATAATAATTTCAAAATATATTAAAATATGTATATACATAATTACAATAATAATTTGAATCAATCTTTTAATTAAATTTATTATAATAATTTGAGTTCTCTCTTTATTTCCATCATCATAAAGATTTTCATGAAGATACACTCATAAACATTATTAAAAAATTCAAACGCGAAAAAAATCTCGAAAATATATTTATACTCTGAAATTATAATATAAGAATGGATAATGAGAGTGACTATTTTATCTACTCGGCATTCAATGCGTTCTATCGTACTATGAAATCATTTATAATGGCGTCATGTGTCTCATTCAGTCGCCTAAGACATTAATGCTATAAAGTTTTTTTCCAGAGACATAAAAGATAAAAAATCAACAATGCTTAATGTAAATGTTTAGAGAATGTTTGTAGAGATGAGATGTTAAGAGAGATTGTTTGTGAAAATTTTTCTCTAACAATGATTTCTTTTTTAATCGCTGCATGAATTTTTCAAAATAATTTAATTATTAACAAATGGACATACGTTATTCCGCGAGGATTTATCTTTTTCAACTATATATGATCGGATGGGTAAGTATGTCCAGGGGTGGATAGATTGATCGGTTTAGATTTACGCTTCATAGAAAACGAACGCTCATGGAGAACAAATTGTAGTTAGAAAAAGAGAAAGAGAGAGAGAAGGAGAGAGAGAAAGAAAGAGACTCTCTCGTTGTAGGGCGTGCACCTATTGTGTTGCGCGCATTTTTGCCCGTTATCCGATCGCCTGAAAGGTCTCGGTTGTACCATTCCGTTTATCCATTGTTCTCTTCAGAACTTTTACTATTCGATACCACAACATCACACTGTACATCGTTGCCAGTCATTTCCCCTTCGCGGCTCTCTCGCCGCTTCTTCGTAGCGGCATTAGGATGTTTCCGGTCATCATCCTTTTTATTCTCCCTTCTCTCTCATCTTCTCAACGCGTCTTCTCCACCCTTTCGTTTCACATGGAGTTACCCTCTTATCTTAAATCACGCGGAAAGTATATTTATATTTTATTAGAGTACGGTCGTCACACGCATCTTGTATACATTTCTTTGTCAGGATATATTGTTTTTTTCGTACGAAATGAGAAAATGTATAATATATATTAAAGAAGTAAAAAGATATGAATTAAAAAGCTTATTTTTTGGAAAAGCTTTACAAAAATTTAGCAAATGCACATATCAAAATAAATAATCAAATATTGATAAATCCATATAATCTTCAAATCAAATATGAACTTACTCATATATAAAAAAATATAGATTTTAAATGTCTTCTTGTGTAATTCTTATTTACAGAATTTGTTATGTTGATATTACAACATAAATATATTTCAAGTACATTAAAATTTTTATATTAGATAGAAAATCTGTTTTATATTAAAAGCACTGAATTATATTAAGTCTAAAAAAACAGTTATAAAAGCATCAAACATTTAATGAGTCTTTTTAATTTAATTTCCATGTAAAATAAAAATCTTTTTTAAAGGTCTTTTATAAATGGATTTATACGCATAACTAATTTGTACAAATAAATTTTATAAATTTTTACAATATATATGTATATAGCCTTTTTGATTTATACAAGTTGAAAAATGATCTTGAACTAAATTTAATACTAATAATCTGTGATAATTAGCAGTCGAAAATTAGTCGAAAGGGTTAAAATTCATTCAACAGCGTAAAAAATTCATTCAACAGCGATTTTTTTTCTTAATAAAGTATATCCTTCATATAAAATTGCAAATATGTTTGCCTTTGAACGTACATACATGAATCCGCGGATTATTGTAGAAGCTTTCGCGAAATCGTTAAATCGACAAATACGATTATGCGAAAGTACATATATAATGATTTATATAGACATATTTGGCAATCCGCGGTGTTATGTGAGAGCCAAAGTCCCGGAAACAAATTTATGCGCATTGTATCAGTGAGGATCTCTCGGCGCAACATCGTCGTCACGACTTTCCAGAAGTAACGTGACTACAATTACGCCATAATTGGCCTAAGTGTGCCCATTGTGTTCATGTCCCTTGAGTATCGCCTACAGGTGTCTCCTCTATTTTGTTGTGTATCGTGATTTATGTTCTTCGGATTGGAAAATATCGGAGACTAGTTACATCGAAGTCCCTGTGTCTTTTCATGTATTCGTCTTTCCATCCGTTTTCTATTTTGCAATGACTTAAAGCGAAAGAACCTACACCTTTATAATTTTACATTATTTTGGCTATCAGAAATTTTTTCTGAATATCAAGGAGATAAAATAAATTTGTAAATTATGTATGTATATATGTGAAAAGGAGTTATTAGAAATGATTTTAACTCAACTTAAATTATTAATTTATTAAATTATTGATGAATTATCTCATTAATAAATTATTAAAATATATGATTAATAAATTATTAATAAATTATATTATTAAATTATTAATAAATTTAATTAAAAGATTAATTTAAATTATTATAGTATTATATGTACTTTTAATATATTTAAGAATTATTATATATATAAAGTATAATATAATAAACAATTATATAATATATATAATTATATAATATAATAAACAATTTTTAAATAATATATTTTACTTATATTTTACTCTTTTATGTGCACAATATAACATAACATAAATGACAACATACATTGTGAAAAAAATTTCAAATCTAAATCTAAATAGAAAACATCTTTTCATATTAATTTAAATGATATACAATTATACTTTGTGTGTTTAAACAATTATAACTGTTTAATTCTTCTTGTTCAAGAATTATATTATGAATAATGAATAATTTTAATGAATAATTTTAATAAAATTTTTTTATTCTTTATGAAATGAGAGATTTTTCATGTGATTTTTAATTTTTGATTATTCTCTGCCTTTTACTTTCTCAACATAAATATTTAAGTACATATGTTATAAATTTTATTATTGATATAAATAAACAATATATCAATTCTCTGGCAGAAAATATACAAATAATTTTTTGAGAAAAAAAATGTATTCTAATATCTTTGATAACTCTTTTCTCTCAATAGATGAAATTTTTCCACTTACCTTGTAAGTTGTCCAACATGTATGTCAGCAGCTTGTTCGTCCCTGTAGGCTCCCCAGTCCCGTACAATGTCAATACATCCTTGCTGAGTGGATTTCCTTGAAGTCCAAGCACTTGTAATTGGAACAATTTTCCTAGTTCGTACGGTAACACACGAAGGTAGTTTTGGTTCAATAACAACTCCCTGAAACAATATAAACATTTTATAATAAAAAAAGATATAAGTACATTCACATGCATTGATATTTCTCAATTTAATTTTGTTTACTTTATATTACCTGAGGTAGATAAGGTCCCCCAGTTCAGCAGGTAGACTACGCAGCTTATTGCTGCTGAGATCTAAAATGCGCAAGTTGGCAAGACGACCAATTTCAGCTGGTACTCTCTGCAGACTATTGTCATTTAGATACAAAGCTGTCAGATGAATCATTTGCCACAAATTAGGGCTTAGATTTCTTATACTGCCTGTTATCTCCAACTCCGACCAATGAGATTTCTTCCCTGATTGATAGTCTTCAGGGCACATGAGTGTGTACATACGACGTGGGTTGGAGTTCTCATACTTGTCCTTGTGATTGCGGGACATGTTATGATATTCTAGAAAAGAAACAAAATATTTCTGTAAAATAATATTTTTCGTTCATGAATTTTTATGTTTTTATAAGTTTAATCATTATACAAAATCAATCTATTGCATCTATCACATTTCTTGAATATAAATATCGAGGATAAAAATATAATTAATTATAATATATTTCTCAAACATAACTTGATTTTTACTCGAAAATATGAAACAACTTTTGTATAAATCATTTTATCATAATAATTATATCCCTCTACTAGAATATGAGGAGTTGACGAACAATAGATATTTCTTGATTCTCGCTACTCAAATTACTATGTGCAACTTGATTATTTCAAAGAAAATGAAGTAAAAAAAGACGCACGTATATGAAAGATACAGCGCAGTTGCTATAAAAAATTAACACTGTTAATAATCCAATTATTAAAACAATCGTCAAGTTTGCACTTCAATGATCAATAGCCTCAGTGAAAGACAATGGAAAATGTAGAAGTATGCATCGACTTTATCACATATCGAGCACGAAAACATTTCTAAAACTTACAACTACACAAAAATAACGCAAACAGATATCATGAGACAAATGATTCGACGGATTTCATCTATTCCATACTAATGATACATCAGGTACAACCCATAACCTATGAGGGCGAAACAAGGTTTTTGGGACTCGTGCTGGTTAAACGTGACGGAAATTCACTGATTTTGACGCGAAACGCGACGCCAGACTATCCGGAAGAAGTTAAATCGCGAATTTCGCCAGATGATGGCGAATTTTTTTAGCGTCAACTACTCGTCCTGTCGAGAAGATTCGTACGCTTACGACGACAAGTTGACGCGTTCGCGCGATTTCCCCGGCGAGGACGTAACAGAGAGGGTCAAGAACGACGGCTCGAATGCGAGACGGTATTACGTACCTTCATCTACCTCTTCAGCACAAACGGGACACGCGAAAAGTTGTTACCGAGTGAAAATTTCCGCGTAAACAAAACTACCTTGACAAACACGGATCCTCCATTTATCAACTGCACCGATCGTGCGCTAAACGAAGCTACGCGATTGGCCGACTCTTTTCGGAGCAGCCGACGTCGCGAGGAACGATTCGCGAGTGATGCCAACATCGAAGAGGCACGAGCTATTGGCAAGCGTGTTTCTTCTAATACGTCATTCGCGGCTAACTTTCCAGAATCGTTTCTGGAACAAGGAAGCTGTTGCTCTTGTCTTATCGCGAATAAAACGAGAACAATAAATAATCTTTCCTCCATAAAATATGATCGATGCATACATAATAATATATTTATATACCTGACAATCAGCTTGCATCCGTTGCATTTTTATTGCACTTTGTAAAAAGGATAACTCGATATATAGGTCTCTTTAATAGCACATATGTCCAAAGAGAGTTCAAAGGTTATCCACAGGATATCCAAGGACATAAAATATCCTCTGGCTGTTAGAGGCCATATTCTGAATCCTCGTTTGTGGGTCACAGCTTTTGATCGATTCCGAATCTAATCTAAAGAGGACCGCGGGCACGGAAATCACGATTGCGAGGAGTGTCAAGAAAACTTTCGTCACGTTACAATATACTCGTGATAATTCTTCGCGTGTGAGAATCACTTTTAAACGGTACCGATCGCGAGAAATATGGAGTGATTCGAATCCGACTCCGGCGAGTCATTACGTTACTAACTGCGATTTGAAATCTATCGAAATGCAATTGCGATTCTCGAAGTATCGAATTGAAGTACATGCAATATGTGAATTTGGCTGCGGTCAAGACTGCACTATGAATGCTCCGAAACATCATTCTATCTTTATTCTCATGGAATGTAGAACAAAGATAGAATGATGTTTCAAAGCATCCAGAGCGTCTTCCAGACCGCAGCCTTTGTCACGTGACCGCATTCAGCGGACTCAACCGCTAAGTAGCAATCGAACGTGATTGGTTTCTACTTGCAGATCCGACCAATCAGCGTTGAATTACAACGGAAAATCTAATATTATTGCGTCCAACTGTTGAGTCCGCTGAATGCGGCCAATAATATATACATATATATTATTTTAGATAAGTATTATTATATTATTATATTATTGTATAATATATTATATTATTATATTATATTATATTATATTGTTAGAAATTTCGAAAAAGATTTGAATGTGAAAAAATATTAAAATAATTAAAATGAACAATCTAGGTATATGACATATTCCTAGATATGTAAGCTTGCTTTCTAGGGGAATTAAACAAGAAAGCTTGGTACTGCATTTTTCTTGCTAACAAAATTATATAGAGTAATTTCATGTAATGCACGTGTTTATATAACGAACATATATTTTCTATAACATTTTTTTATTATGTTCCAATTGGTGTGTCATTTAATGAAATTAAAAATTCTTCCGAGCATCTTTATTTATGTCAGAGATATAGATAAGCATTATGTCAGAAAATATATCTGAAGAGGAGAATAGTTTATTCAGAGGTAGATAATCGACAAAATTACGCACATGTATATTTACAAGTTTTTTTTTTACTACAAAAGTCCATAATTGTCAATTTCTTATTATATTATTGTTATACTTGAGTTTTACAAGTATTTATGCAAGTATTAATGGTAATGATAATATATTTATTATAGATTATAAAAGCGAAAACTTCGATGATAACGACTTACAGTCCCGATTATATGCAGAAATCTATTATGAATCAAACATCGAGGGTGAACCAAAAACCTCGGATTCAAGGATTCAATTTGCTAACATGGTTGCTGAATTAAACTCTGAACCAGAAGGTATGCAACAAAAAGAGGACAAGCAATCATTAGAATTTGAAGCTTCTAGAGATAAGTCTAGTAAAGCTAAAAAAACATTAAAAGAACATTGTAATCAGAACACTTCATTATCAAACGAGGGCTCTGTCATAGAACCATTGATGAGCAATGACATGTTACAATCACAAAATTCAACTAATGATCCTAGATCAGTGGAAATTCAGACTGACAAATTATCTGATCGAGAGATAAATCCTATAATACATGAATATGACAATAATGACAATCCAGGAAACCTTTCAGTAGAAAAAGGAAAAAAGTGCAATGAAAGTGTTGCCAAGAAGCATAAATCTTTTAACCATACAAAAAATAAACATCAAGAAAATTCCTTAAATGATTATACTGCTTCATCAAATGACACAATACATTCGAAATATAATGTTGTTTTAAAATGTATGAAAAAAGAGGTGGCCTTAAACAAATCATTAAAGAACGATGAGCAGACTTCGGACAGTTCTGATTCTGAAGAATCTATTTTTGAAGTACCAATTCCACCAAAGCCAAAACCACCACTTATAAATTTGCAAGATTCCGATGAGGAAAAAAATGATACAAATTCAAGAATGAATAATCTAATTTCAGAGAAAATCCCAACTATGAAATACAAAATTACAGATACAAGAGTATCAAGCAGTCATCAAGATACATCTTTTAAAAATAAAAATACTGATAAATCTCTACATAATAAGAATACAACAGTAAATACTGAGAATACCCATACACATACACAAGAAATTAGAGAAGATATTGTTTTGAATTGCACAATAGTTCAGAAAAGTGCCAAAAGTATAAATGAAATTAAACAGTCATCTAAAAGTGCAGAGTTAAATAAAAATCAAGAAAAAGTATCAACTGAAGATACAAATCAAAATTCTACAAAACAATTATCACAAAATACATCTAAAGAAAATAATGCTAATTTTCAACAAAGGATATTTGTGACTCCAGGAAAATATTCGTTAAAAACACAACAAAATATTGAGGAAAATAATACACATAATAGATATAATTTAAGAAGTAAAAACAATACATTAGATGCAAAGGCGTCATGTAGCAACAGTGATGTAGCAATAAATCGAAAGAGACAACACAATGAAACCGAAGATTCTAAAGACAAACGACAATGTATTAATCAGGAATACAATCAAGATATCGTGCAGCAAAGCAGCAGTAAAGAAAGAGGAAACGAAGCGAAGAATGAATGCTTCAAATCAATGCCAAACGCAATGAGAAATTATTACTACAACTCGTCTCGCGATCTGGAAAACTTTGATGTTAGTAAGCTGCAGCAAGGCATGTCGAAGGATCCGCGAATGTGGATGATAATAGATGAGGATTTGATGCCGAGTCCTCCCAGCAGACAGCGTACTAGATTTTGGAATGTCAGATGCTCCAATTGTCATCGGGATGGTCACCAACGTTACGATTGTCCAGTGCCGCGTAAAATACCATGCTGCTACATATGCGGTGAAAAGGGCCACGTCGAATCTCGTTGTCCACAGAAGATATGTCTTACATGTGGTAAGCAGCAGAATACGTTTCGTAAAACTTGCGAGTATTGTCGTGTCCTGTATTGTACTATGTGTCATTCGATAGGACACGAGTCAATGGAATGTCCTGATCTGTGGCGACGATATCATCAAACGACCGACATGAGTAGCGTACCACAGAATCCAGACAACGTAATGAAACCGCCGGGTCTACTGCATTGCTGCAATTGCACCAAGCGCGGTCACGAGTCGTCCATGTGCAAGGAATATAGATGGTCGCAGCACTTTCAAACTCCGGCGGCAGTCACAAATTATATAGACGGACCGATGTATATGGATGGACCATATACAATGAATTTTTCAGATGATTTCGAAATTGATACTCTATCCAGGACAACAAGTAGCAGATCGATTCCAAATAGTCCTAAAAATATTCAGCAGATAACAGAAGAACATCCTGCTGTCAATATAGATACGTTATCATCTAATGCAAAAGCTAGTGAGACGCCGGCTTCACAAGGAACTTTGCAAATCAACTTATGCAGTTCAGGAGTAGAAAAAAACTTGGAATCTCCTTCTATAAGTAACATACTTCGACCTGAAGAAAAACAAAAGAAGCACAAACAAAATGTAATAAATGAAGAAGAGTTTACCACTATTTTATTTTCGTTTGGTAAATTTCATTACAAAAATAACAAGAACGCGCGAATAATCTCGAGAAATCTTTCATTGCTCAAAAGCAATATGTCATCTTATGGAAAGAAGACTATAATAAATAGTTTACCAAAGCGCCAAGTTGTTCCAGATTTCCTTAGGACATTATCAGATAAGGGGATAGAATTTGAACTGAAAACAGGCTTCACAGTACATCAAACCATAAATTTACAGTTAATAGCAATGAATGAATATGTAGAACTGATATATGATTTACTGCTTTATTGGCTCAATCTCCCAGACGAAGAAAAAAGTTACGGAGTGGATGTAACTTTACCCATGAGTCCTACAAAAATGTTTAATCTACTGTCTTCGAGATTACCGCAGCTCACAAAAATGAGCTTTACATGTTATGCTGAACATATACAAGGAGTAAATGATCCACGAGGACTTTTTAATTTGATAAAACGATATAAAAAACAATTGCAATATTGGAACAATGGTACCAGGAAACAATATCTTCGCCTACGTACAAGGATGTGGCGTGTACAAGTCAAGCTTCTTATGATTGTCAACACTGAGCCTCAACCAAATGTTTATATTTCTCAGTTTCATAATGCAATGAAGAAACTCGAATCTAAAAAACAAAATCTGAAGATGGAGAAACTTGATAATGCCACTTATCTTAAACTCACTCTGCTTTATAACCATTTATTTGTGCCTCACACACCTGCCACTTTATGCAAAACGCTGAGTCGCATTGAAAAACACGCGGAAAAGATGACAAAAAATACGAATTGTGCACGGGTACAGGAATTGGAAAAGGATAAAATATATGAACAAGAAAATATCGAATCATACTTAAATGTGAATTCCTCGGCATCTGCGACACCTTACGTTTCGCAAGATATAAACTCTGCTGAAAATTCTACGATTAATATTCAACAGAATACGACTGACGAGACATTAATTGAGAAAAGAGGAGTGATCGATGTTTCATCTATAATCGATGAAATCATAGATAGTGATGATAATGAAATAATGATAATAGAAGATTCTGTTGGAGAAAATTGTGGGACTATTATGTCATTAAATACTGAGATATCTAACAATGATAAATCAGTATTGATTCAAACAGAAGACAAAAATGAGAATCAAGTATTAACAAACGATTTAAACATTGAATGCAATACATCCGCAGGCAAACAGGATGTAAACACGAAACATATTACAAGAAAAGAAAAAAGCAAACAAATACTCGAAAAATGCAAACAAAACCCGAAAAATATTACAAGAAAAGAAAAAAGCAAACAAATTAAATTATCGAAACAACAGAAAATTGAAAGGAAAAAAAAGAGAGAGGAAAATATTTATCAGGATGCATCATTTCTCATAAAAGAGGCTCATGCGCTTAATCTACCTCATATAATGAATGCAGCAAACGAATTGGAAAGAAAAATTAGCAATCGAACACTTCAGCTAAAACATGTCTGCTCGATAAAAAGTATGATTAGATTAGAGAAGAAATATCGTAAGAAAGTTGACTTATATTGGAAGAACTTAAATACATAGTTTTTTTTTCAAATATTATACTTTTTTTTGTTCAAATATTGCAATATCAAAAAGTTATTTGTAAGAGATATGATTTCTGCACAATTTTAAGTGTGGATGAAAAATTGTTTATGTGGGTTGCAATATCAAATAACCACAAACATGTGTATAATATATTCAGAAAAAGATATAATACACAGCTTGTAAAATATCTTCAAACTACTTAATCACATACATATATTTCCATCCTTATTCTATTAATCATATATTTTGATAAATATAATTAATGACATCTTAAGATAAATTTTGTATCATTTATGTTAGTCGTGTAATATTTGCTATAATTAATTACAAATTAATTGTCCTTTTATATTGTTATATTTTTAAGTGAACTATTAAATAATTATCTTAATATTTTCTTATTTGCATACATATATCCATTTATAACAATATCTCAAAATGTTCATATTTATGATATTTGTAAGTTAAAATCATGTCATTGTTGTAGCAAGTAAAATCTGAATTTAAAAAAATTGTCTTTTTATTGTTTTTAAATAAAACATTAAAGAATTAATTTTGAATATACATAAAAAGTATTTATTTTATGTTTTAGAAACAATACATATTTCTTAATTAATTAAAATCTCAAAATTATTTGATTTACTTATGACTAAACTTTGTGATCTTATATGTACACATATTTTGGCAGAATAATTATAATTTGTCAATTTAAAAAATCAAAGTTTAGAATTATATGCTTCATGTTTCTAGGAATTCTATTTTATATGTCAAGGAATAGTAAATGACAGAAACAAAATAATATATGGATACTGTTGCAATAACATTACATTTACTTTTCGAAGAGAACACACAAGCCATTTGAACATATATCAAAATGTCGACAAACTTTCTAATTGCAGAATTAGTTTTAGTTTGTACAGAATTCTTAAATATACAATATGCGTACACATATTTTTCTGCATCAGACCATTCTAATGACCACACGCAATCAAGGTTCAACCAAATCAATTGTATCCACAAGACAACACACAAGAGATAAAAATCCTCTGGCTGTTATTTCTTCATCGGTGGTGGGCCTACCATGGGAGGCGGTGGTCCGTTCATTGGTGGTCTCATGTGTCCCATAGGGCCTATAGGACCCATCATAGGACCCATTGGTCCCATCGGTCCCATCATAGGTGGCCTCATACCCATCATCGGAGGTGGCATTGGTCCATGTGGTCCCATCATCATTGGACCTCCTGGTCCCATGGGACCAGCTGGATGCATACCGGGTGGTGGCATCATTCCTGGAGGTCCTTGCGGCGGTACTCCGGATCGTGAGCCAAGACTAGAGCCGAGATTGGGTGGTGGCGGTATCGCCGCACCCTTGTTAGCCGCGAAGGGATTCGAGGCGATCTTACCGGCTTTAAAAGCGGCTGTTGTTGCATCGATTAGATGCTGGGCCTGCTCCTCCATCCATTTTTGATAAAAATATTTCACGTTATCCTTATGCTTGCGACCCTGGCAATGGGTCTTGCGTACACTCGGCGAATCATGTGTCAAATAAGTATCACAATAGTCGCAATAGTATTTCGGCATCGGTGCGTCTCTTGTAGAGATACTTACTTCGTTGATTTTTATTACGACTGGTTTCCTCGGCGTTATATCACAATCATCAATTAACGCGAAGGATAGAGTATTTTAGCATTTTTTTAGGTTATATACCGGTAGCAGTCACAGGCAGCAGCTCATTGACAGTTTACAAGCGACGAAATTTTGATCAATCCGCATATTTAATTGGTCAATACTTGGGCGCAAACAGCCAATCAGAATTGCAGATATTATTTATTTTCTTTTCTATAAATAGAATAATTGGTAAAATAAAAAATGTTAGCTTTTAATCTTAATGAATTAATCATAAAAGATAAATTTAATTATCTTTTTCTAATTAATTTCAATAATAAAATTTTATAATAACGATAACAATGCATATTCATTACAAAATTACAGAAAAAAACAGATGAATTAAGAGAATCTTGCATAATTTATAGAACTCATTGAATGCAATAGTCATAATATTTTAAACTTCGTAAAAAATCAATGAACTCCAGGCTTATTTTTTATAGCTAAACTTACATTTTTTGTTTTTTTTTCTGTTTCTCTTCAATTTAGTATATTTTATGCTATAAAGCTATAAAGAACAAATTTGATAAAACTCATAAATATATCTCATTAAACATTGAGATTAAAGATTAAAATTTGATCAATCAGGATAAAGAAATTTTATTTCCTTTTATTTTGATTACTCAAATTTTAATGCGTAATCTAATTTTAGCAATCGAGAAAATGCTAGAAATGCTTCGAAACATTCGATTAACCAATAAGAACAAAAAGAATAAAATTTCTTTACTCCGATTGGTTGATGCAATACTTTATCTTTAGCGTTTTCTCAAACGCAGAAAAAAACACAGGTCAAAGCAATATTGCATAATTAATTATCGAATAGAAAATGTCTAATGTCCCAAAACTTTTTCTATCCGATAGCCAATCATGTGACATTGTACTTATGTGTATCTTTTGTTGAAAAGCACCCCTAACATTTAAGCGTGGAGCACATAAAAAAACTTAGACAGTAAACTTAAGACTTAAACGAATCGACCAATCACAGTCGAGCAATAAGGTCCAGTTCCACAATCCAGTTAATCCGAGTTTAAGTAGTCAATGGACCAATCAGGACCAGTCAGGACCAGTTTAACGTATTAAACTCGGATTAACTCGAGTTGTGGAACCGGGCCGGCAGGTGATTGGTCGATTCGTTTAAGTCTTAAGTTTACTGTCTAAGTTTTTTTATGCGCTCCAGGCTTTATCATGCGAATGTCGCGGTAAAGCGAAGAAGTAGAGAAGCATGGGTTGTTTATTATATCCAATGTATTTTCTTATTGTTTTGACATAATTATCTGTGAAATATTGTTTTGAATGATGGAGCAGTCCATTAAAAGAAGATCTGATGAACCGGAACCAAAAATTCTGGAACCAGTTCTAATACGAACCGACAACAAAGATCGTATACGTATTGACAAAAATCTGGTAAATAGCAATGTAAATACTTTAGATAGATAAATTAATAGAGAAAGGATTTTTCAGTTAATCTTAGATAAATATTAAACAATTTTAATTGTTAATGGAGAGTAACAAAATATATCTAATAGAAATTTATGTATTTTTTCTTTAATTATATGTATATTTACTAATATAGTGACATTTTAGCAGATTCAATTTACAAAACATTCAACAAATTAATAGTTTATAACAATTTACTGTATTTTTTATTGTGTATATATATCAGAAAATCATCAATTTTGAAAATATAATTTTTTTTGGGGCATATACAGTTTAAAATAGGCCGTGCAAGAGACAATGACGAGATTATATTGGATGTTACAATATCTAGAAGACATTGTATCTTTATATGCGATGATAGAGATGAATGGATGATTAAAGATTTAAGTTCATCCGCAACATTTGTCAATAATATTGCTATCTCTCCTGGAGTAATACAAAATATTTATCCAGGTGATGTTATACAATTTAGTCCAAATGAAACATTCAAATATACATTTACTCTTGCTGAAAAAGATCATTGTGTTAAGAGGCCATGTATAGATGAAAAAATACTTGATACTGTTTTAATCAAGCAGAAAACATTTGCTGAAAATCAAGAATGTCAAAGAAAAGAACTTAAAGATAAGCTTGAAATAAAACAAAAGGAACAAATTGAATTAAAACAACAACTTGAAGATCTGTTATCGCAACAAACTGTTATTCAAGATGATAAAGAAAATTTATTACGACAAATTGAAATACTAGAAAGTAAAATAAAGACAGGTAATGCTCAAGAACAATATTTGCAAAACATGTATTCCCAGTTATTAGAAAAATTGGAGAGCGAAAGGCAACAATTTGAGACCAGGATAAACGAGGAGAAGCAAAAATGGCAAGAAGCACTAGATATGAGTAAGCAAGAGAAAGAAATGTTAGAAATAAAAATGAGAGAACAAATGGAAAAGTGGAGACAAGAACAACAAACAGAATGGAGAAATATGATGGAAAACAAGGTAAAAGAAGAAAAAAATATTCAAGCTCAATTATTGAATGAGAAAAATATATTAGAAGAGAGATTGAAAGAAACGGAAAAAGCTTTAAAAGAACAAGAAGCAAAGGCGGAAACTTCACAGGCAATGTTAAATGGTATGTTTTAATAAATTGGATTTAAAAATATTATTTCCCACCTATTTTTCATTTATATATTTGACAACTTTTAAAACAATTTTTACTATAAATTATTGAATCTTATTAATTTTTTTTCCAGCAAACCTAATAACTAGTGAAGCAAGTACAGCAGATAACTGTATATTTGTAGAAGTAATTAATGATTCTTCAGAATTCCAAATATTAGACACAATAGATTTAACTGGATTAAGTCAAAATATTATAGAAACTAATACTAAGGAAAATATTCTTGGAAAAGTGAGCGACATTATGGATGAACAATTGACGTGTAGCATATGTTCAGAATTATTTGTGAGAGCAACAACATTAAATTGCACACATACATTTTGTCACCATTGCATATGTATGTGGAATAAAAAACGAAGAGATTGTCCTGTTTGTAGAAAATCGATAATATCAATGAATAGATCATTAGTTTTAGATAATTTTATTGAAAGTATGATCGAAAACCTACCTACAGAACTTAAAGAAAGAAGAAGAGAGATTATAGAAGAAAGGAAAGGTAAAAAAAGTCATCGTGACTATTTTAAATATTTTACATTAATGTAGTGAGATGTATACATATAATTGATTTTATGTATAATTTTTCTATATATTTTTTTTCTAATTCTTTTGTAATTTTAGCATTAGAAAAGAAGAAACGTTATTGAAACACAAATCACACGAAGACAAAGCACACAAGGAGACTACATAGTGTTACAGTATTTTATTATATAAATTTTACATCGTTAAAAAAACCATATTTAATTTGTCATAGTTAATTAATAATCTAATATAATAAATACATGTATTATAGTTTACTCTTGATTAACATGTATGTGCTTAGAAAGCATTCAAGTTTTATTTTTATAGAAAACGAAATCTTTTTTTAAAATATATTCTATCAATTTATTAATTATATCTTCATCACATAATAGATGTAAAAATAAGTGTATTTATGATTAAAAAATTTTGTAAAATTTGTTAGTTATATATTCTTCAAATATGTACAAAAATTCTTGTATCTTTCTTTCTCATATTGATTCTCTTTTTTTTCATCTTTTTTTTTCTGCTTCTTTAAATTTGAAAATTTTAACAAATTATGTATTGTTCGCGGTTTTCGAATTCTCCATCCTTGTTAATGGCAAGTTTCTTTCTCTATCTTATTACTTAACCTAACTTAATTCTATATTTGTTTTCACAAATCGTGTTCTATAAAGTTTGGCTAGAGAGTGAACAGATTATTCTGTCATCATGCAATAATTGATATTAATTAATTTATTAATATCAATTTTTATTTTATTATTCGTATATTATTAACTGACAATCAACAATCAACATGCGAAACGCAAGTTCTTTTATTACATACTTTCAAATATGCAGATGCTTAAACTCGTCAAGTGCGTACTTGAATTTATACAGAGAGAGTAAATTTATTAAAAAAATGCTGCAGGGAACTCGTAAGTCGAAAAGGTGAGAGATCTCTTTCGATAAATTAGATATATGTTTAAACTATAGATTTATATTGTGAAACTTTTTTGCATGTAAATTTTTGTATGATATATTATTTTCATATTGTATATTTATATTTTTATATTATTTTACAGAAAGTGGCAAGACCCAACGATAGATTTACACAATACTTTAGGAATCGAACAGAGCAATAAAACAGCCTCTGTGCAAACAATGCGCAGAATGGTGGTCCGAGATAAACTTTTCATGAAGCACATAACAGACTTGATGTCATTGGGTGAAGTGTCTGATATCATAAATGGAGGCATAGAGATTACTTGTGTAAAAATAACTCCGGATTATAAGTGTGTTAATGTATACTGGATAAATAGTACTAATGATGTCTCCTCGCCTATTAGCAAGGAAGCGTTGCAAAAATGTGCTAAAATTATTCGACATGAGCTATCACAGCTCCGTATTATAGGTATAGTACCTCCTATTCAATTTGTCGAAGACAAGCGGTTTGCAACGGAGAAGGAAGTAGAAAGAAGATTAGCAACAATAAATTTTAAGGATGAGAAATCTGAAGAAATTCAATTGGATGTCTCACATACTGATATAGCTGATCAAACTTTGTATATGAAATCAGAAACAAATCAGGATTCTGAGATGGATGAATCTTATATAGAATTGCCAATAATGAGACATGATGTATTAGGATTGGATCATTACAAAATTATGTCCAGGGTAATCTATCTTAACTTTAATTTTGTAGTGAAATATAAATATATAAATGAAAGATATTTTGAATTGTTACAGATTATCTCTTCTGTATCCAAATCAAAAGAGGCTGCACAAAGGCGGATGTTAAACATAAATACTAATGTTGATAAAAGTTCTTGCAACTTAGTTTCAAAAGAACACGATTTCTTAACACAGAAAGAGCAAAGTAAGATCCTTTCTGATTTTCTAGCCGCAAAACGGAAAGAAGAAAGACGCTTACATCGGGCGAGAAAATTGCTTAAACATGAAATGTTAAGCAATTTTGAGGAAGAAATAAAATCTGATCATAATGAACCTGAAGGTGATTATAATGAGAATAGCGACGAATTTGACAGTCAAGTGCAATGATTTTAAGCTGATATATTTCTCAACAATCTTTATTATTCGATATAAAATATAATACTAATATTCTACTTTTTTCACGTTTGTGTATAATAAATAATTTATTAATAATAAATTGTACAATAATTAATAAATTGTCCACATAAATAAATTGTACACATAATTTTGTTATCCAAGATAATATAATTAATAACAACAAAAGGACTAATCATTATTTTCTAGAGATTAGATTGTTTTAACAAAATGAGACATAATAAATATAAACTATGCAGACAATCGATTAAATGTTAAATCATGATTAGAAAAAGAAAGAATTTTGGGGAGTTTAATCTTCTCCTTCAAATATTAGATTATGATCAATACAGAAACGATTTCACTCTAAAAAGTGATAAATAGACTCGAAATATTACTGTTTCCTAATTTGATGCATGCATACATTTTTTATAGTTAAGATATGTGTGCACAGTCTATGCTTATTATGTCTACAAAACTGTACCACTGTACATAATGTACAAATTTTTATCACATAGTTGTCATATATAAATTCTTTGATCGCTTTGACTTATATAAGTTTCTTATGTAGCGTTTATATGATAAGATTTTAATCAATTGTATTTAAGAAAATCGATTATAAAGAATATAAATCTTACTTATGGCAAGAACTCTTATAAACTCCGCATATTCGCAGTAATACATTGTCATAATCAAAGTGCAATTTTTCCCATTCCAAGTGCATGCTAGCGGTCGAGCCGCGAAAAGCAATATTTCACTTACGCCGCGACTATCTAATGTAGCAAAGGGGGCACCGTGTTGCAGAATATTAATACAATATGGTGGAGCCAATCAGCGAAACGTACCTACTTCTGCCACACTCCTTTGACTCTCTTTAGAATACAAATACATATTATATATACATATATATTTTAATACATATATTTTAATACATATTATATATACATATATATATTACTTAATATTACATAATAATATATACAATATATATAAATTATATATATAAACATCATATATATATATATATATATATATATATATATATATATATATATATATATATACTTGTATTCTATGTCAAGGTGCCCTCTGTGGTACGTTAGACCGGCGCAAATAGCCAATATTGCTTTTCGCGGCGTTCGGTTGCTAGCATGCACTTGGAATGGGGAAAACGGCACCGAGATCCGGACTCTGATCATAATTTCCGAAACTAAAAGCAGAATATGTAAATAATTATGCAATATCTACAATCAATTATCACATAAAGCCAATGTCTATTAGTTTACATTTTACATTTTTACATCATATTTGTATATTTTATAAGGCTTTGTCATAGGACATAAACGAAAAATTAGAAACTTATTTGTATATTTAACATATCGTATAACATACGTATACGATATTCTCCCATTACAATATATGTAATTACTATATATAGTTCTTTGTACTAGTAGCAATATAGTATTGGAAATCTTCTGTTTTGTAAAAATATTTCGCGCTATAATTGTAATTAAAGCTTAGTTGATTTTGATGTGTCTAACTTTTGTTCTTCGGATCTTGGTGTTTCAACTGCTTCATTAGATAAATCATTTATTTCGTCATCACTAGTGAATTTAGCATATGAGCGTAAATGTGATGATGTTAAACGAGGTATCGAATCACTTAAAGCGCATGCTTCCAGTACGTATTTATTGAAGATTTCACTTTTGTCTGCATAAACGTGATGGCCAGCTCCAGTAATAACCTGTAAAATATAATTTATATTTTTGTACAAACAACTGCAATCAATCTGTTTCAGCATCATTGTAATTTAATGTAATTTTCTCACTTGGACGTTAACATACGATGAGGATCGATACTGCTTTATCATTTCACCAGCTGAATTATCAACCCATGATTTACTGCCATAAAGTAATGTTATAGGTATATCATTGCTCAACTTGTGCATCCTTTTGACAATAGGATTTTTCGCCCATCCGAAACCAAACATCATTGCATGAAATGCACTTTCACCTCTGTTAAAACAAATATAATGTGAAAATATAACACAGCAATACTTTTTTAAATATATTAAGACATTTTTTAAACTTACGATGGTGTCTGCACATTGCATTGATGTATATATTGTGAAATTATAGCAATATCATCCTTTAATAAAGGAGAAAATTTCTTCACTATGTCAGGTCTTGTTTTTTCAATAAGCCACTGTCCTGTAGTAAGCATTTTAATTTAAAATTCATTTTAGTGCAAACAGAATACTGAATATATATATTCATAGCAGCATTACTAACCAAATGGTCCAGCGACTCTAACTGCCCATAGAGGATTCAAAGGCTGCACTGCAAATGCAATAGCTTTAACCCAAAATGGTAAGTTTGCCTTTGCAGCAGCATCGGCTGGTTTTTCAGGAAAACCCCATGGATCAGCTAGTATGAGGTGTTTTACTCTTTCAGGATATTGCATAGCATAAGATGCCGCAAGAAAACCACCCATTGAATGACCTAATAATACAAAATTTTCTAGTTGCATTTCCCTTCTCCATTCTTCTATGGAACGTATTAATTGTTCTTCAGCCTTTTGCGCTTCAGTGCTAAAAACAGGTCTGCTACTCCTACCAAATCCTAAAAATAAAAAATTTCAAATAATCATATATTGCACAAGTCTATCAATACATTTATATTATATGTAGTTACAAAGTCCAATCAATTAATCATATTTAGATATGCATGAATCATATATTTGTCAAGTGGACAATGGCAAAAGCAGGAAAAACTTTAAATCCATCAGATTATGTTACATTATTATTTTATGCATATTACATTATTATTAAATGCACATTAAATATGGAATTTCAGATAAAGTTAAAAGCAATGAAAGTTTTGATATTTTAAATATCCATCTCTCACCTAATATATCAATGGCATATACTGGTCTCTGAGATGCAAGCGTATCCAAATTTAAACACCATAACGCTACTCCAGATCCTAAACCATGTAATAAAACAATCGGTGTCTTTGGTGATTCTTCATTTAACGAAATAGTCCATATTTTATCCGCTGGTCCTACTACTGGTCCAATATCCACAAACCATCCTCTATATGCTGTTTTTAAACCTTGTAATATTGAAAGAAAAAAAGAACACATAAGTTTTAAATAATTTGAATAAAATTGTTGAAACGTTTTATTATATTTACTTACATGATAAAATCTTTTTCTCCACAGTACGTAACATGGTTGAAGATGATCCGGACCAACTAAACCATCCCCAAATCCAGCTACTGTTTTCGAAAAAATAAAATATTTATTTTTACACACACGCAATTGGAAAAAATATATTCTTCATCTTACAAGATGTATTTCAATTTATATATAAAGAAAATAGCAGATAAATTAGCAAATTGAAATTTGTGTCAAGTCATACTGTTGCATTAACACAGGTATACACTGTATAGACGTGTATTAATAGTCGTGATATCATAGACTCTCAATCATTACATTATTATCTACATCCTTCTCTATTAACTACACAGCATCGCCACGAAGATGAATCAGAAGAGATCTAATGATGAAATAGCCTCACAACCTTAACGCGAATTAAACCTTAAAATTGTAACGATTGTTCGTCTATTTCGCATATTTTATTAGACTGCTAGAAAATATTCTACCGTCTCTAACACGACAATCCGTCATCGTCTCGCGTGGAAGAAAAAAATCGCAATCCCTGTTGCACACATCCACTTTTTGTGCCAAATGACGTAACGATGACTGCGCGGCAATCGCGTAATTTTAAAACCCATGACACTCCCGATTCGCATGAAAAATCGCGAAAATTTCTGAAAAAAAATTCTCACCTTTTCGCTTGGACAACCTCATGATCTGCCATGGATGCGACGATACGGGATGTTTTCTCGCGGCTGTCTCGCCACGATCGGGCCCTTTGTTGTTGACAACCCGGAAAAACACACGCGTATCCCGTACACGCGCGATTATCACACTATTACCTAGATCTAGCGGAAAGGAAACGCGCGCTCGGTTAAGCACGCTTGGTGACGCGTGGAGGGGAGAACGTCAGAGGAGGGGAAAGAATCAGCTGATATCTCGAAGCGCACAATTTCTAGAGTGTGTTTACGATGAAGGGTAAACGATAGATACCTATCTATGGGATCTTCTGCGAATCTTCCTCTCGTAGATCTCGTCTTTCGAGGTCGCTCATCGGTTTTTGAACCCAATTTGAATTTTATTTTCGATCTAATTTTACATTGAAATCTGACAAGACTTTTTTTTTCAGAAAAAATATCAATATTTATTGTATAGACTGTAGATAGGATCAGGTATGACCGATATGATTTCATTTAAAAAGTCAGATAAAGAGATAAAATCTATCTCTAATCTTTTGCTCTTTCGTGTTTTAGAATCGAAAATTGAACTTGGTTCGTATTGTACGTATTTTTTCTCCGTTTTATTACAGGTGGAGCTGTGTTCTAAAAAAGGATAACGAATCGATTATTTATAATAGGCTTGTTTTCGCTACCCTACACACACATGTCCAAAAGATGTCCAGAAGTCATCGAGAGGACATTCAGAGGACATAAAATATCCTTTGGCTGTCCTCCAAATATTCTATGGACGTCTTTTGGACATGTGTTGTTAGAGTAACTGCATCTGCGGAAGATTGAATGAAATATAATCGGAATTTGCGAAGAAGAAAGAAAAATGCAAAAATGTAAAGAAAAAAGATATAAGTAAAAAAAGGAAAACAGCCTAACATTTATCGACGTGAATGTTGGCCCAAGGTATCGACAAATTCTGTCATCCGGGAAGACTCGAATCAGACCGGATGCAACGCGAATTTCGAATCTGGAGCGTCAGCTGATTATGACATAATTCGCGCGTAATCGGCTTGCGAACTGTAACGTGATGTGACAAACCCGCATGTGAGATTCGCATTGCTCGTGTTTTCTGTTTTGATTAGCTTATTTCGACGATTCAAATGACGTCTTTTAAATTTTTTATTTGTCTATATTGATGTAGAGTACATTGTCCATATTGATTAATAACAACCCAGCAAACAACCCGAAGTAACATTCATATAATTGTTAGTTGTAATTTCCCATTAAATATAACTGTTACATGTTATATAACATGTTACATAACAGTTATATAACTGTTATTTGGCGTTTGCTGGGAATACTATGAATTTACATGCGAATAATATTTCTCGTTTGGAGATTCTCGATTATACCTGCGCGATATCGGAAGGAAAGCTTCAATTTATAAGGATCGTAGTTTTGCAACGCATATCGATGCACGATAAAAATGCTGATAATACGTCAACTTTCTTTTTATGACGCGTTCATATCGCACTGATAATCGCAACGTGTTATTGTTAAGCCCGAAGTAAAAATTTATGAGCGATGATAAATGATGCGTGTAGAACAAAGCAACCATCTTCGTTATATACAAAATAGACATCATCACGTGTTGATGTTATCGTATTTATTAATTGCGTCCTCATTACTCGCTTGAATACCAAACAATATAATCTTTCATCGAATATTCTATGCGACTTTGAACTTAAGCATGAAACAAATCTTTCATTCAAATCTCTCATTTATTTTGTTTTACATGTCTCTAAATTTCAATCATAATTTAGCAGCTCAGTAAGTGCAAAAGATTAACAACGTAAATATAAAAAAGTATAAAGAAAAGTAAAATGAAATAGAAAAAATATTAAGAGAAAACACCTAGCAAACACTAAGTAACATTTATATAATTGTTAGTTGTAATTTCCCACTCAACAATATAAATGTTACATGTTATATAACTGTTACATGACAGCTATATTGTTGAGTGGGAAATTGTAACTAACAGTAATATAACTGTTATTTGCTGTTTGCTGGGCATAATCTAATTCTTTTCAATGTTTTCGATTATATTATGCGTTTTCGAATTCTCTCGTCAAAGTAATTCTAGGAAAGATTCAGATGGTAAATAAACGTGATAACTGCTCTTACATATGTCTTATTTATCAATTTGTTAGCAATCGCGTTTCGTTGACACTATATCAAATCAATTCCGAGATTAGCGCAAAATAAAGCCTCATTGACGCAAGTAAGCGAACTGTTACATAAATTAACAATAACGCGTACTTTGATGCGTATTCAAATTATATGCTCTTTCGTTTCGCACCTTTGTGTGTATCGTGATTAATAATTGATAGGTATTCCCCATTACTTGACACAATACGGAATCATACGGACAAACAATCGCTACGCTGTGCTTATTGTTCGTACTTTACAAAGCAACTACACCGTGAGTTTACCATACAATCAATTAACACCGATGCTTGTAACACGCTTCGCTAGCACCTACACGTTAATTTTGCGAAATTATATAGGAGTGCGTATATAAAGCACGTGCGAATTGAACTATGTAAAACATACGAATTAAATACGAGATATACGTAAGATGCCGATATTTCTTAAAATCAATATTTTTTATTAATTTCTTATTATATATTTATATTATATATTTATTATATATTTATATTATATATTATATATTCTTATTATATATTTTATTCTTTATGAATAATATTTTATATTATTTTTATAATAATTAAGATTTAACATTAAATATATATCGTTCCTCGTTTTTATTTATAGTTATCACTTATAAAATAATACAATTGAAATTTTCGAACAAGAAATAAGTATGTTTATAATACAAGTATGTTCCAAAAATTCCGATACGTTCTCGACATTATGCCTCGCATCCAGGGACCTCGATAGAAAAGCTCTGAGCACTTTTTGCCCTCCCGACAATGTAACCCATTCATCCCAATCAGCACATCCTCATTGCATGATTCTCATTACCCAGTCCAATTGTTTCGCGAATTCAACCGCACGATCGCGCCACAGATTGTGATTTGTGTTCATTGTTATACAATAAACATATGTAAACGAGGATCGATTTTATTAACATGTAAGTGAGTTTAATACTTACTATGTCAAATAATTTTATTTCTGCTTGATATGCTTTTATTGTAATTATATCATTACGAAAGAATATACAAATAAATGTTATAAAGTATACGGGATGTAAATATGTATCGTACATTTTTAAATATTATTCCTATATTTTTACAATACGGAATTATAATCCTGATGTCTTCAAAATTAGCAAGTCTGTAGCATATTCGAAAAATTTTTATTATAAATGACGCAGGTGCAATAGTGCTGTAAATTACAAAGAACAATCCCATACAGCACAGATCATTGTTGTTATATTACAGTAATATTGTGACAATATTGTAATATTGCTGCAATATTGCGACAAAGTAACAACAATAGTCTGTGCTGTATGGGATTTCGAATTTTTTTTTCCTGTCTCATTAACATATAATATACATGAAAAGATCGCTTGAAAATAACGTATTTAAAGTATCGGTTCCATCTGAAGACGACATGAAGTAGAACTTCATGTGTCGAGAAGGCGTGTTTCTCGTTAAATCGAGGAACGGACGGCAGGATACGCACGCACACACGTGTGTGTATGTGTGACGTGTGACATGGAAAGCCCACGCACATCGCGGTTGGCGTAGGAATACACGTGCTTCGTTTCGGGCGTCGTCTGCTTCGGGCACTACTTTCTCGCCACTCACGGGTAGCAGACGCGATACCGAGGAGCGAAGGATGAGCGAATTTTTAGGGTTGAAAGACGGACATAAGGAACAGGCGAGATTCGCACACTCGACAAGTAAATTATGCGAGTTATTAGTATCGAGTATTTTCTGGTGTCCGTGAATGCGATACGCAAGAAATCCCTCTATTTCGACCTTAACTTGCGCTTCCTTCTTCCAGGATATCTTCTTCTATTTGACGTACTTTAACCAGGCGAAATGCACCAAAGTTTGTAATTATTATTGCGATATATCAATGAAAAGTAACACTCTTAAAGTAACACGAGATATACAATTACGTTAAATGCTCCTGAAAAATTTTGACATATAAGCTTATTATGTTCTGAAAATTCATTCCCGATATGAAAGGCTAAATTCGTTACAACTCATGCAGCACAGAATATTGCAGCAATATTATTATTGTTGTAACATTGCAGCAACATTGCAATATTACAATATTGCTGCTATGAGATGTAGAAGATACAAAAATATTAAAATCTGCGTATTTGCTTTCTAAGTAAAAAACTTAGCTTTCTTTTCGCACAATATAAAATAGGCTTTTAAATAAATAAAGAGAATGTTTTGTTTTATCTTAGAAAAATTTAAATTAACGAACTTATTAGGACAGTTTGCTTCAATTTTAATGTCTCGTATATTTCTAAAATGACGCAGCAGTAATCTATCAAATAAAGAATGTAAGAAAATTTTTCTCGACCCATCCGTATAGCAATGATTCATAGCGATAAGAACGTATTATTCTCAGACTTTGGGCATCGCGATTGTTTTACACGTCAGCTTTCAAGTACGCCAGAAACTTTAGATATAGGAGCATTCACCGGCGATCACGATGGCACCCCGCAAATCCTTCGCGTTCTCCCCTATCCTTCGATTATTCATAGAAACAATTACACGGTCGCGTCATCAAGATCGGAGCCTCCTCGCGTTTATCGCTCCGCGCAATTTGTAATTACGGGCGCGATATCGGCCATGTATATCCATCGTGCCGAGGATCGATAGCCCAACTCGAAGTACGACGGAGTCGGTATTTTCAAATTTTTAGGTTATAGCGTGCGAGGGATTACAGCGGAAGGGGACGGGGGAGGGCAGGAACGCGCGAAGGAGAATGAAGGGAGCGACGAGGAAGGCACGACGGGGAACGGGACTATTTGGCTGCGGCGGAGCAGCGCGGCCGCGGCTGCGCGCGCATCCCGCGCGACGAACGGCGTGAACGTGGCAGCGGCGGAGCGACGAGGGCGGCGCGCGATTGGTCGGCCGGCGAGGGCGCGCGGTTGCTAGGCAACAGCAATAACGCGCGCGTTACCGGCCGGCGTAGTGTCGGAGCGGAGCGATAGGCGCAGAACGACGTCGGCTTCCGTGGGGTTCGTACGTGCCGGGTTGTACAAACGACAACAGCGTGCCGTGAAGTCGACGGATTACTCACTCGAACGGGCGCTTTCTCTCCCTCCTTTCTCTCTCTTTCTCTCTCTCTGTCTCTATCTCTACCTCTCTCTCTTTCTCCATCTTTCTCTTTCTCTCCGTCTCCTTCGTTTGTCGGTGCAAACGCACGCTCCCCATCTTGAGGTATATCCCCGCCGCCGCCGCCAGGTCAGCCTCAGTCTCGCGGTAAAGGACGTCGCGTGAGCTTGAGAGTTTCAGGGCGTCTGAAAAGAGGAAGACGTAAAGATGGCAGAGGACAAGAACGAGACGAGCCCGAGCGCCGAGGGCGAGAAGCCGCAGGAAACGGCGGCGGCGTCACCGCCGCCCGCCAAGGACAAGGAGGAGCCGACGAAGGAGTGCAAGGAAGACGAGAAGAAGGTCGAGGAGAATGGCGAAGGCGAGAAACCGAAGGAAAATGGCGAGGAGAAGCCCACTCCGGAGCCGAAGGACATGCGGGCGATCGTACTCAATGGTTTCGGCGGCCTGAAGAGTGTCAAGGCCCTGAGAAAGCCGGAGCCCACCCTCGGCGAGGGAGAGGTCCTGATACGAGTCAAAGCCTGGTGAGTAGCTTCGTCTCGTCTTAATCGAGATGCACATACATGTATCCTCTCCGTTACTTATATCGAGTCGTTAGATGGAACAATGTAATATAGGAGCCATATTTTTTCCGATTAACTTGTTGGAACGCCTCGAATTCACGCAGCAATATTTGCTCGGTTATCTGCTTATGGTCGAGCATACCTATGCCATGATTTATACATTCGTATCAGTTTTCAAATCTCTCTAATTCTTTAAAGAACTTTCTATTCCAGCTAATTAAGTCTGGTATTTTTCTAATTACTTTAACTATCATCCTTTCAAAAGTGATTCATAATCAGAAGAAATAAGTAAAGAGAAAATTTCTGAAATTTTATAACATGTATGTGTATGTAAAAAAATTATACATATATAATTAATACATATATAATATCAAGTTTTTATTTTATTTTAAATTTTAAATTATTTATTTTAATTTTTATTTTTACAACTTATAATTATATTTGTCTTCCAACAAATTTTTATTATCTTCGATGAATAAAGCTAAGAATCAAAAATCATATTTGATTGTGAAATTAAATGAGCGAAAAATGCATAAAATTATTGGGGGGATTTTTTCTTTGTCACGAATAGGGTGCGGCACGGTTGGAATCTTGTTCGATCAAATTTTGTATATGTACCTCTCATTATCTCTCTCATTGAGATATATAAGTGTCGAAAAGATCAACATCGAAAGAATGAGATAACTTCCGTTCTTTTGTCGAGGGCTATCAACGTAAATTCTCTGGAATGTTTAGCTTGTGTTTCTTCGCTTTCCCACCGCGTTAAATACGAATTCTTTATGACTTATATGCGGGTCATACACAATAGCAGTGACTAGCTAATTATGATCTCAAATGTCTAAACGAGTGGAATTAAGGAAAATAAGTTTACGAGCTTGTTTACGGCTTGCCTCGCTAAATGAAAATTATGCGTTATAAATCTTTATGTTAACATCAAATATTATTTTTATATTACAATCCAAATAGTCGAATCAAATTGTGCATTTTAATACCGACACACTTAATATCCTTACGAAGTACCCTTAATTCAATCGCACGAAGCACAAAGCGTGATCAAAGCGGCCTAATAGCGATTTAACGCTCAAAGTGAGGAGCTATCCTAGCAAACGCCAAGTAACATTTATATAATTGTTAGTTGTAATTTCCCACTCAACAATATAATTGTTACATTGTTACGTAACTGTTTATACAACTATTATTTAGTGTTTGCTGAGATGTTACATTTTATAAAAATGTGTTTCGTTTTTAAATATCCACTCGCTTCATGCGATCGATAATCAATTAATCAATTTCCGATACGTCGATTCGTAAATCAACGTTACCACCCGATTATTTATTACCGGGGAGAGACATCAATTGGATTTTTCAATTATAAAGAAAGAAATCGACTTTCACCGTATCGTATCGTATCTGGCTTCATCTCGAACAGTCAGAAACGATGATGGTGCTCGGGGGGGATGGCGAATGTCGGATTTGCCAAAGGCTTACGCGGACCTTTTCGCGCGTGAGTCACGTTTTATAAAAGCTATTGGGATTGATGAGAAAATAGCCCCCATAGAAGGATATCACGCTGCCAATGCCGGCACGACGAATAAATTTGTCTGCCTCGCTGCAGACATGTTCGTTAAGCTACGCGCACCCCCGTCGTCGAGCTCGACGAGATGGACGGCTAAATAAAGTTCAGTTGTCGTTTCGATAGTACGTCGTTACACAAGCGGGGCTCGTTAACTTACATTCTTCGAAAAATTAAGAATCTTTTTTTACAGAAATAAAAAAAACGTATATAAAATCCTCCCATCCTGTTTAATAAGATAAGCTTATTCTCCTCTGATTCACATATTTCAGGAAATATAAATTTGCGTGAATTTATATAGCTGGAGAGTAATAAATTCAAAATCAACGACAATAATGGTTAAATGCGCTGTTATTACAATAATGTTTATCGAAATGCAATTGCTCCCTTTGTCAAATTAGTCTTTGCCATCGCAGGCCCCAGGCATTCTCCATTTTAGTCGAGCGTGCTTCACATGTGAGCGTGATCTCCACGCATTTGGACGTATATATATGCCCTTTGTAGTAAAGGGTTATTCGTCGCAGGAAACGTCAAATTTAAGATGTCGCGTCCGAAAGTGGAAGTGATATTAAAAGCGCATATCGCTACCGGAACATTTAAATTAATGCTTTTTTTAAATATTTTTTTGTACTCTTTATGCGCGAAACACTTGCTTTATTATTTTAATTTTGTATTTTGTCAACTTTTAAGAAGAATTTATATTAGATCTGAAATATTCTTTTGATATTGTTCATCAAAGATGAGTAAACTTCTTGAAGAGATTCGAGACAAAATAAGTGAACTTTGATAAAATTTAGTTTGTCATCTCTGATCTCTTTTTCTGAAATAATTAAAAATTTTTAAGTGAAATTTTTTAAATTTCTGTACAAGATTTGACTTTATGTAAAATTCTTTTCAAAAGAACTTCTCTTTCTTTATTAAATTTTTACTATAAATTTGCACTCGATTGTAATATTATATTCTACGTATCTCTTTTTCTTGACTATTCATGAAAGAATGAAGAATCGAAGAAAACAGGCAATTGCTCGTGAATAAAACAATTCTTCCGTTTATATCTACAGAGACACAGCATAATCCACGTAGTGCGATAAACGTTATATTATTCTACGTGTAATAAATATCTTTGACAAAAGAGATGAAAGAGACTTTGTCCAATTTGTTTAGAAATTTAAACTTTAACAGATCCAAGAACGCATGAATGTATTTCCATTTTTTCGATCGCTTTTCTTCAGAAAAGAGAGAAATGCGATCGTATATAAAGTATATAAATAGTATCATGGTATTTCATGGTTTATCCGACATTCTGTATTTTTTTTTATTCTACGAGTACTCTTCTTTCGAAGACGTTTTCCTACGAGAAATTGGAAGCGATAGAAAAAAAGAGCACGAGTACGATGAAAGACGAGTCTTGAAAACGCCCCTAAAATATAGTAGAAAGTGAGAGGAGAGGAAAGAAAAGAGAAGAACATGGACATCGTGGTGGTATATCGCTCGTTCGCTGAATGGTATCCGTTCAAAGTTTCCCATAACGCGATATTAAGACCTCATTAGCATGATAAACTCGACGGGACAGATACAATGGTGCCTTTCATTTAAACATACTTACACGAAAAAGTCAGCACGAGCTTTCATCCGCATAAATTCTGAATATATATTATATACATGCAAGGAATTTACGTGCATAAATCTACTTATATGCGTAATATTTTCGCGATTATTCACGCACCGTCTATCTACGCACAGTATATGCAGACTTAATCCCCGTATGTTGTATAATCGTGTTTGATACTAATGCAAAAAAATCCTTCCACAATCTTTTTAACGCCTATACATTCGCGTAAAAAAATTTTGGATCTAAATTTATGATTGTTTGGATGGAATTTTCAAGTCTTGGAACTTGCATCAAGATATTAGTCATTGAGTTTTTGATTTTTCAGATTCACAAATTGTTGAAATCTCTCAAGTTTTTACTTAATTTTCTTTAGATTCTTGTGAGCTCCCAAGAAATCTGGTTATTACTTTACTGATAACGCTCGATACTTGATTCAGTCTCGAATGAATAATCTCTTGTATGCTTTAAATTCGATTTACTCAATGTTAGATTCATTATTCGCGTGGAAAATTACAAAATGCATAAATGCTTGCTGCAATTGTCAATGTCAAGTCTAATCCTAGAATAGATGCGAAACGCGTTTTTATGAGTACCATTGATCTTACAATTAGATTCGATCGATGACATTCAATAAATCTTCGAATTAACCCCGATAATAATAATATTATATCTCTCCTCTCGTTCAATCATTCTTTCTCCAGCTTATTGGCCATACAATCTTATTCATAATGAAATTAAGGTTAAATCAATTCGCGGCTTGAAACTTTTCGGCTAAAAACGATTGCATCGATTTCTATGCGCACGCATTTACGTTGACAACCGCGTGTGTGCGAGGGATGGGAGGACGGAAGGGAGGCGTAGGGTAGAGGGTGTAGGAAATACGGGTGTGGTTCGATCAATACGGACATCCCATAGATCTATCGGTGCGTTCATATTGTCGGGTGAATCATGCTGAGTTATTATTTTTTATACACATTATCATTATCCGGACGCAAAAATGTTTTGCCAGAAATTTGAAAATAAACTTCATGTATTCGTCATGTATAAAATCACTATTTCTTTTTTCATCTCGATTGCAACTTTGTAACATGATTAACTAATTTTAATTTATAATTATGAATATTTTTACATTTTACTTTTAATTATTACCGCGTAAAATGTTGAAAAGTTGCCAGCGCAAATTTGTCCCCTTATTGTTCAACTATTTGCGACAACATCTGCGCTGCATTATGTCAATTGAGAAGATACTACGTGTAGATCATCCGCTCGATGTTTGCGTTTTTCCGTGCGTCATGCAGGTTTCTCTCGTTTCCATTGCATTGAAACATGTATCTGATGATCGTTCCACTTGCATATTTGCAACGACGCGTGCAATTTTATGGAACACAGATACACAATAAAAAAAACATTAGCCAGAGAGCTCGTAAGATCTCTCGCTGTGCAGCACGATATTCGATTGCGCGAACCGAGTCTTAAAATATGCAGAGGCGACCGCCAGCTACAGTTTGCCCGTGATAGAATTTTTCATCTGTGTGTGTATGATTCATGTACGTATATCGCTGGTGGTAAACAGAGAAACCAGTCGGCTAATCGTCGTCTCGGGTTATCGTCTAGATTACAAGTATATGCATATTTTCTCTTTCTTTTTAATAAGTGCAATCAGTGCGATGCGTCAGCTGACATTTATATGAGAATCACCGGTAGATTCATCACCATGACAGATCGGAGTCGACATTTTTTTCCAGACAATGACGATTATTTATATCCATCTGATTT